CACTCCCGGCCGGCCACGCCCCCGGCCACGCCCCGCAGTGGCCACGCCGCAGCCCCGCCCCCACCCCGTGGGCTCGAGGGTCGTCCCCGTCCCACTGCGCTGATGGGGAAACTGAGGCCAGCAGAGGCGGCGGGCTCCGCAGCCACATATCCAGGCAGCAGGCCAGCCTCGGAGGGGCCCTAGAGCCCTGCGGCACTGAGCAGGGTCCCAGAAAGCGCTAGGTGTGACCCCAAGCGGCCCTCCTCACCATGGTGGGCTAGGTGGGGACCCTCCTCACTTGGAGCAGCCGGGGCCACCCTGCGCGTTCCTCCCCAAGGACAGGCCCCTGCCCCTGGCCACCGGCAGGGGCTCTGGGCTGTTGCTGCTCTGCTCCTAGCCTCCCTTCTGGGTTTATGGCCCCGGCCAAGCGAGTGGCAGAGGAGCTCGGTGCTGTCACACATGGCGCAGCAGGTGTCGGGCCCTCAGGGTGCGTGAGCGCTGGTCCCACGCACTGGCCGCCCCTCAGACCGGGGTACAGGTCGCACGCGGGAACACGTCAACTGTGCTCTGGTTGCTGGGACTCACCTAGTGCGAGGGACCATCACCTGGATCCCCGAGGCAGCCGCTCCTCTGGGCACAAGGGGCCGCCCATGGTTCTCCAGCCCTGCAGGCTGAGGGTCAGAGCCGGGATGTGGATCAGAGCTGTGCAGACCCCTGGTCAGCCTGGGGTTCGGGGCTGGGAAGGGCTGGGGCTCAGACTCCCGCAGCTGTGGGGTCCCCGCCGTCCCCGCCACCCTGCTGCCCTGGATGAACTGGCTTCTTGCGCTGGTTGGCAGCCGCAGAGCACCCTGGCCCGGGATGGACTCCAGGCCCGCTGGAAATGGGGTGTTGCCCTGGGCCCCTGAGCCGGGCTGAGTCCCGCTGGGAGCTTGAGTGGGTGTGCCTGGTCTGCAGATGAGAGGAGAATGAGGGGCTCCTAGCTCTGCTTTGGGGCCTCCTGACTGCAGGAGCTGAAGGAAGGGAGGCCCCTTGCCCAAAGGCCCCTCCCCCTCTCCTTTCAGCAGCCACTGCCCTGGACCAAGGGGCCCTGAGGTCCCCCGCAGGTGGGTCTGAGGGTGGTAGGGGTCACTGTGGTGGGATGGGGTTTCTAGGTCTCTGGAACCCCTAAACCCCAGCAGGGCAGCGCTCAGCCAGTCCTGGGCAGGGAAGGGCGGAGCAGGGCTGGGGCTCTAAGTGGGAGAGCACCTTGTCCTGCCCTTCCTTGTCTCTGGGCCAGGGGACAATGGGGAGGCCACCCACACTGGTCCTCTCTGCCCAGACCTGGATGTGGCCTCACCTACCCTCCCACCTGAAGAGTGGCCCATCTGGCCTGGGCAGAGGGACAAAGGCAAGGGGTCTGGAAGACCCCATGGGGGACTTGGGACCTTCGAGACTGACTTTAGGGTGACAAGAGGCTTCCCCATGGGCCAAGTGGGGCCCTCACAGAGCTGACTCTGAGCCAGCCCAGCAGGAGGTGGGGATTCCTCTCGACCCATCTGGGCTTGAGATGGGGCTGATCCTCCACCAGTACCCCTTCTGGTCCCCGGGGAGTCCTCGCCCACACCAGGAGCAAGGGGAGAAGACCCAGCCCTGCACACGCCAGGTCCCCGCAGAGGAGATGAGGGTCAGGTTAAACTGCTGAGGCTGAGCTTTGCTGCTGGCTTGGGGGCTGCTCTGGGAAGCAGAGGGGCCAGGAGGTGGGCAGCTGGGGTGAGAGGTGGGTCCAGGCCAGGCCACCCGTTCAAGGTCCCTGGCCAAGGGCCCACGGCCCCCTCCTCAGAGAGCAGGGGTTAGCCTGAAGAGGACAACCCCATCCAGAGCTGGACAGGTTCGCGCCCCACCGACAGGAGCCCAGCTCTTTCTCAGGAGTCCAGGGAACACTCAGGACTCCCGTGCCCACTCCCCACCCCTGCAGGGCTGCTTTGCCTACCTCATACCACATGGGCTTGGCCCGGGCCACCACCGCCACCTCCTTGGGCCAGGCATGGACCCTGCCCCTTGCAGGAACATCAGACCCTCTGGCCATCCTGGGGCACCTCCTGAGGCCGGCCCTCCTGCTCTGTCCCCTGCAGCCTCCATCTGGCCTGCAGGGCAGCGACCGGGGCACAGAGGCACCTCCCGGGCAAGGAAGGGTGGCTTTTTATGCTCCGTCCCGTGTAAATCGGGATTGGGATGGGCCCTTCCCAGCCGGACTTCCTGTGTGTGTTCTCTGCTGATAACGGGGATCTGTCAGCGAACAAACAGGAGGCCGAGGGGCGGTGGGGGGCAGGGGCCACCGAGTGTGCAAGGGGCCCACCAGGCTGCGGGGGAGGGGAGCTGTCCCCTGGGACTGCAGAGTCTGGGCCTGGAGCCGCCGGAGAGGGACTGGGGCTCAGCTTCAGCCCACTGGTGTCCCTGGGGACAGAGGACGCGGCCCAGGGTCTCCCCAGGGAGACCGCGTGTCCATGTCTATGTGGTCAACAGAAGGGTCCTTCTGCATGTTTGGGACACTGGAGCCTGGACCCTCAACCCCCCAGATGTGTGTGACACGCTAGGGCTTTGGGAAGGGTGGCAAGTGGGAGGACCCAGGGGAAAGGGCTGGCCGGGAAGACAGGACACCCTGAAAGAGCTGCCTGGGAATGTGAGCACCCCGGCCCTGGAAACCTGCAGCTCACTTTCCAGGGGACACCCAGGACTGGGGGATAGAGAGTCCTCAGCCCCTCCTTACCCTGGGCTCCCAGCAGACGTGGGGGGCAGGAATGCAGGCACCTCAAGGTGGCCAACAGAGAGGGTGCACCTCAAGTTCTCTGCGGTCCTTGCCCTCAGGTCAGGGGCTCAGAGGCTGTGACAGGGTGACCCCCTCAGATGCAGGGAGGGCGTGTGCCAAGGACCCACTGTAGGCTGAGGGCACTGGGAGCGGCCCCTGCCAGCCCTGGCTGGTTTTGGGGTATAAGCCCTGCTTCGGGGTCAGCCCTTGCCCGCCCAAGTGGGAGTGCCCTCAGTTCTGTGGCTCTGAGCCTCCCCCACCCAGCTCTGCCCTGCTGGGCAACTTGGGCCTCAGAGGGCAGCAAGAGTGGCTTGGCACATTCCTGCCTGCTCCCTGGCCAGGGGAAGGGGCTGCTGCGGGTACCTGGCTGCGGTCAGGGACAGCCAGGAGGACCCAGGCCTGGCCAGCCTGGGCCACTTCTGAGGGTGCGTGCCTCTTCCTGGTCTCAGTTTCCCATCTGTCCCCTGGGGCCAGGAGAGGGGCCAGCCATGGGCTTGTGAGGGCAGGAGGAAGCTCCTGGCTCTCGGGCACAGGGTCTGGGCAGGAGGGGTGGGCAGAGATAGCAGTGGAGGCCCCGTCTCCACACCACCCCTCTGTCTGCCTCTGCGGCTCCCACTTAAGGCCCCACCCACAAAGGCCAGGGCCTCCGCCTGCCCGCCTCCCCCAGGGCTTCCTGCACTGGTGCCCTCCACCCCAGCGCTGTCCTCTCCCTCGCCTCCGGCCCGTCCTGTCTCCCCCAGCCCCCACACTTGGGTTTCTCCCTGGACTCTGGATGGAAGAACCAGCCAGTCCTGGTGATGGCTACATCCTAGCCCCTTTTTTTTATGGTTTTTTTTTTTTTTTTTTTTTGAGACAGGATCTTTCTAGATGCTGTGACGGGGTGACCCACTACATAGCCCAGGCTGACCTCGAACTCATGGCAGTCCTCCCACCTCAGCCTCCTGAGTGCTGGGATTACAGGCATGCGCCACCACACCCGGCTCCAAGCCCTTTTGTGTACAGAAAGGGACACTGAGGGCCAAAGCCGGAAGCAGTGAGAGGAGCTGCCGCCCCCTCCTCTAAGGAACCCAGCCCCTCCCGTGCCCCCAGCCACAGGCCTGGCCCTGGCAGGTGGCAGGGGACAGCAGAAGTCACTGGCCAAGACCAACTGGGTGGGAGGTCACCCCTTCTTGCACTCCAAGCCCCGGGGTGCTTCCCGTGTATTGGAGGTGGACCTGTGCCCCATCCATGCCCTGCTGTCTGTGCCGCTTGGCTCAAGCCCAGAATGCCAGACCAGCCCTGTGCTGCTGCCTAACTCTGCCCTGGGCCGAGGGGGGCACGCTGGGCACATGGGGGAAGAGGGATCTGGAGCGGGGGAGCCGCATGGGTGGGGCGTGCTCTGTGCCAGCCCCGGAGGGGACTGCAGAGGACAGGCAGAGTCCCCCACCCAGAGGTGCCCGCCCTGCAGGATGCCGCTCCTCACCCCCTCAGGTACCTGTTTAGGAGTCGGTGCCTCCCCCCCAGGCCTGCGCACCCCTCTGCAAGCGACACCCCATGCTCACTCCCGCCCGCCCTGGCGACCCGAGTGGGGACCTGGTGGTTCTGCTCCTTGTGGACCCCAGGAGCCCTGAGCCAAATCCTCGGAGCCCAAGGCAGAGCTGGCGACAGTCTGGAAGCTGCAGGGCGTCCCCACACGGCCTCAGTTTCCCCATATGGGCTGGACGATCACCGCTGCTTCCAGCCTACCTGCTCCTGTTCCGAGGTCGATGGCCACAGGACAAGGTGGAGGAGCGGCGGGGTCAGCCCGAGCCTCAGGGCCCCCGGGGACCCTCCTCAGACCCCTCACCGGAGCTTCTGGCCTCACCGGGAGAGGGTGGGCGCGGAGAGCCGGGCTGCAGGGAGGAGAGACGCGGCCGGAGTGGAGAGAGGGGCTTCCTGTTTATCCCCCAGGCTGCGCCAGCCTCAGGGACAGGATAGCTCTGTCAGCCACCACCGGCCTGCTTCAGCCAGAAGCGGCCGACCTGCCTGCAGGAAGATGCGCCCAGCCCAATGGCCAGTCCCCAGGGAGGCCAGAGGGGGCGAGGCTGGTGTCCACCTGGGCCGGCCAGTGCCCGAGGGAGTGAGGGGTCTCATGGGGAGGCGCAGAGCCCACAGGGGTCTCCAGCTGCCCCTCCCTCCTGGCCCCGACCCTGACCCTGGCCCAGAGGGTTTCAGAAGCCCTGGGCACACAGTGCCCACATGGTACCCACTGAGCTGCCCACATGCGGATGAGGCCTCCTGTCCAGGGCCAGCAGCAGGGAACGGAGGCCCCAGGCATGGAGAACAGGCATCCTGAGCACCAAGGACACCTGGGGATGCCGGCCTCCCCCGCCCTGGGGCCACCTCCCAGACATGACCACCCTCTGCTGCCTGGCCCCTTGACGCTCAGGCAGGGCCCAGGAGGTATCTGCGCATCACCCAGCCTTGGTGGGCCCTGGGCCCTGCCTCGGTGGCCCCTCTGTGACTGTCCCCACCCTGCCAGTTGCCTAGCTTCCCACCCGAGTGACCTGCCGCCCCTCCTCAGCCTCACCCTGCCCCTGCCCGCCACACTCAGGCCTCACAGAGCTCCCTAAGGGGGACAGCAGACAGTGACCTCCTCCCTGGCCTCAGCACAGTCAGAACGGAGCCCCTCACATGCTGGCGACCCTCTGCCCAAGCAGTGGCAGCCCATAGGCCTGCACGGCTCTCAGGAGCCTGCCAGCGTAGAGCAGGGACCTGCAGTGCCCTCACCTGCTGGCCCAGCCACCTGCTCTGCAGGGACACGGTGGCTGGAGATGTCACCACGAGTGCCCACAAAGTGGGCACCCTGCCCCACTCCCTCACTGTCACCGTGCCGCCCCGTCACTGGGTCCCTGTGTGCCGCCGGCCCTCTGTCCCATCACAAGGGACACACGAGGAGACACAAGCGTCTGGTACCAGGGGACACGTCCTCACCTGGGCGGCCCCAGGGAACGCAGAAAGCCATCGAGCACCCAGCACTTCTCAGGGTCCCCCGTACCCACAGTCAGCAGTGCTGCTTTCCCAGGAGTGTGCGGTGCATCCCTGGGCCAGTGTTCCGGCCCCATCAGGAGATAACCTACTCGTGGGTGACACCTGAGGTTGGGCGGAGTGCACCCCAGGCCCCACAGGACACTGCTGCCGGGCCAGTGCCACCCTCGGGTCCTCAGCCCCCCAGCCTCACCCCCATCTTGGGCTCCCCTGGGACCCAGCTCCTCCCAACTGGCTGAGCTTCCTGAGGGGGACTGAGGAAGGGGGACTCGCTGGACCCAGGGCTCCCTGTGCCTGGTGCCCTGGACGGAAGCCCTGGTCAGCCCCCTGGATGGGCGGCCGTTAGCAAGGAGGGGAAAAAACACCTTATCTTAGGGAGGAAAGGGAAATCCCTGGGGGCTGGGGTGTGGGCAGGGTGGGGGAAGCCGGCGCTGGGTCAGCAGCCGCCCCACTTGGGGTCATAGCAGCCTCTGCTCTGCCCGGCAGGGCAGAGAGTGACCGGACCTACAAGCGCTGTGCTGTCCGGGGTATCCCAGGCAGTCGCACCTGCCCTGTAAGGGGAGCTCCCGCTGGTCCCACCCCCAGGACAGAGGAGGAGCCGAGGCCCCAAAGGACCACTGCCCAAGTCGTAGCCCGTCCCTGGCAAGGCTGGACTGCAACACTGAGCCTCAGCATCCCCATTCTGCAGAGGGCGGTGGGGGGATGCCTGTTCCCTGGGGATAGGGCTCGGGGGAGCTGGGGTACCCCTCATTCTGTGTACCACCCCCCCCAGGGCCATCATGGGGCTCCAATGAGGCCAGGGACTTTGTGCTCTGGAAGCCTCTCTGCCTCAGTTTCCCCACAGATTAGATCAGAGCGTGGAGGGTCCCAGGAGCCTGGTACCCCACTCTCAAAGGGGTTCAGAGACTGTGGCACCCTGGCCCTTGTACCCCAGCCCCACAGCTGCCTGTTCCTCTTATTTTTTTAAAACACCCTCAGGCATGTAGAGAGAGGAAGGGAAAAACAGGCTTCTGCCTGGCAGGGCCAGAAATCTCTGTTTCCTCTCAGGCAGGAAGCAGGAAGTGCGTGTGTGTGGGCAGATGGGGGGCCGGCTGAGAACAATGGGGGCCCCTGCAGAGGGGAAGGGACTACGTCAAGGGCTGGGGTCTGCAGGAAGCCCGGCCGCCCCTGCTGGCCCCTGCTGGGAGCTGGGAGCTGCTGCGGGTGGGGCAGGAATGTAGTCTGAGGCCTCTTCCTGGTGGGGCAGACAGGGCAGTCCCAGCTCCTGGGGATGGGGCTCCTAGGGTCTTAGGGACCATTGACTTGTGCACTTTTCCCCAAAGGGGAAACTGAGGCTGGCCAGGGGCCCTGGGGCTGTCGGGGTGTCAGGAACAGCGCCCCATGGTCATCTTGTGAGGGCCCAGGTGAAAGCTGCAGATTCTGTAGGGTTCACCCCCTCCACGCCCCAGCTGAGAATAAATAGCAAGCACCCCCCACACACACCGACTAGGGGTGGCCAGGGCAGGCGCTCTGCAGCCCTGGAGCCTGAGCCACTGTCCCAAGCCATCCCGGGACACTGGCCCTGGCTGGTGGAGGAGGGGAGGCCATCCCTAACCGGGAACCGCAGAGCCAGGGGCCTCCGTGTGCGTGGAGTTGTGCGGTCTGGGCGGGGAGGGACTGGGGCACCGAAGGCCAGGGACAGCACCCTCATTTCCCGTGACAGCTTTATTGAGAAGTGGCTTGTGGGCACGCAGTCCACCGGCAGGTTGGGGACAGATACAGCCATGTGTGACCTCACCACCGTGGACTCTAGAACATCGTCATCCTGCAGCCCATGTGGCCATCTCTGTCCTCTGCTGTCTCTGCATCTGCCAGGCCCGGACCTTTCGTACACACGGCAGTCGTTCGCCCCTTCTCTGTTCGCAGGTTTGTGCTCCAGGCCCCGGGATCATAGCCTGGGTCAGGGTTTGGTCCTTGTGTGCCACTGCTTATGATGCCAGAGCGCAGCCGGAGGTTTATCCCCCTCTGGGTCTCCCGGGCCGTGGTAAATGTGCTGTGGTAAAGCCACCTGTGTAGGGCTTGCGGGGAGGCGAGTGTCCCACCGCTGAGATGTGCGTCTGGGCAGGAGAGGTGTGGCCCTGTGGTCACCTGTGCTTCCTGCAGCACAACAGCCGCCTTAGCCGGGCATGACGGCGCCCACCTGCAATCCCAGCACTCGGGAGGCTGAGGCAGGAGGATTGCTGTGAGCTTGAGACCAGCCTGGGCTACAAAATGAACTCAAGTCCAGCCTGAACCGCATAGCAAGACCCTGTCTCAAAAAAGGCAAAAACAAAAACAAACAAACAAACAAAAAACAGAAAACAAAACGAACAACAGCTACCTCACCTTTCCTCCTAAACCACTGTTGTGGGGGGAGGGGTTGGTACCAGGAATCAAACTCACAACCTGTGCTTGCCAGGCAGGTGCTGTGCCGCTGAGCTCTACTCCCGGTCCTAAACTATTGTTTTCGATCACACAACCTCTGGCCGACCCCGAGGGAGCCGGCCGGGTGAGGACAGGACGGAGCTGTCCCCGACCTGCTAGGACACCACGTACTGGGGGCTGCAGAGGGGAGCATGTGGGAGCCACTGTTGGGGGCCTCTCGGTGGGCTGGGGACCCGCGGGTTGCCTGGAGGCCGCGCAGCCTTTGCGGGGGCTGTGGAGGAACGGGCCGTGGGCAGCATGGGCAGCGTCCACTCCAGAGCTGGGTTGTCCTCCCGAGATAGGAAGCGAGCACAGCAGGGTGGCAGCGGCTTGGCTGCTTCCCTCCTCGACAGCCCCACGGGGCCAGGAGCTGCGTGCTATGCACGGCGCTGTGCTCTCCGCTGGCTCTCTGCAGACGCCAATGGGACCGGGTCCCCGAGGGGGCCTGTCCTCGCTGCTGGCTGCTGGCTGCTGGTTGGCCAGGAGCCCCAGGAGGAGACTCGGGGTGTCCCTGGCTGCCCACTGGAATGTCTCACTGTTCTGCCTCAGTGCCCGGAACCATTTGGAGCCAGTTCTCTGATCGGCCCCACCTGGAGGCAGAGGCCCAGGAGGAGAGGGGAGGCTCCTCCCTCAGCCGCGGGACGGGCGCTGGGCACACACCAGCTCTGGGCTCCCAAGGGCCGGGGGCTCCCAGGCACTCAGGCGAGCTCCGTGAGCCCCGTCTTCTGGGCCTCTGCCTCCTCGCTGTCTGGGGTGGGTGTGCCCGGCCCCTTGGGGCAACCTCAGGACACTCGGAGACCACCACACCCCCACTGTGCCAGGAGAGACCCAGGGCAGCACAGGGCAGACCTAGACGGAGCCCAGGCCACTCTGAGTCCCGCATGGCCAGCTCTGGCTGGCCTCGATCTGTCCCACTTCCCGTTCCTGCTCTGAGGGTCAAGACCCGGGTCCCCCCGCACGTGTCCCCCGCTCCCTCCAGGGTCCCATGTTCAGCTCTGTCCCTCTCGCCTGCCCCGGAGGGTGGCCCTGGGAAGGGGGCCCAGGCCTTTCCCAGGCAAGGTGGGGTGAGGCTGCTGTCCAGGCCCCCGTGGTCCCTGCACAGCTGGAACCATCACCCTGCAGGCCGTCTCGGCATCACACGCAGCCCTGCTGAGCTCTGTCCTCAGCCTCCCTCCCCCACGCGCAGGCCCCGCTGGGGACAGCAGCTTCCTGACCCGGGCTGCTCTGGACAATGGCCGGAAGCCCTGGCTCTGGCCGTGGCCAGCAGGCACGTGTGGCCCTGGGGATGGCAGGGGCTGTGTCTCAGGCCGGGGGCTGTGGACGCTGCTCACAGAAGCCTGGGGATGGGGTCCTCAGGAAGCAGGCCCCAGATGGCCTTAGGCCCTGGATCAGGGGGTCCCACCTCTGTCCCAGCCACCGGGCCTCCGCTGAGTGCACAGCAGAGCTGGGGGGCTCGGGAGTGGTGTGGGGGTGACGAAGACCCCATTGGGAGG